TGAGGTTCGAGGTTCAGTGTGGACAGCTTTCCAGGGGCCCTTGGGCGCTGCTTGGAGCCACAGACGAGCCGGCTTTGGCGGCGGCTCGGGCTCTGCTTCGCTGGTGAGGTTCAGTGTGGACAGCTTGAGCTTTTCCAGGGGCGTGAGGATGATCTTCCTCCTGCCCCCGCTCTCCTCACCCTCCTCTGCCACCCCTTGGGGCTCCGGTCCAGGACCCTCCTCCTCCCTCACATCTGCCCTGGACTGTGCCGGCAGCTCCTGCTCCTCCATGTCACTGGCATCCGCAGCATCCTCTACTGCCCCAGGCTCTTCCCCCGGCTGTGGGGCTGCTGGTGGGGGCTGCAGGGGACCGGGTGCCCCCTCCTTGGGGGACACAAACAGGCTCCCAGCATCCGAGGGCAGGTGGGCGGCAGCGGCATCCTAGGGCAGAGCCAGCGGTGGAGGGGGGATGCAGCATGGGGCCGTGCCCGAGCATCCCCCTCCACATTCTACCTTTCCCCCATCATCTGTGGGGATTTACTTACCCCATCGGGCAGTGCCGGGGGCTCGTCCTGGGGCAGGTCCATGCTGGGTGGATTGGGGTAGTGAAGTGAGCAGTAAAAATGACCTGGGGGGGGGACACAAACCCACGTGATGACCTGCAAGGTGGAGAAGCCTTGCCCCGAGCATCCCCTCTCCCCAAAACCCGCCTCACCGTCCTCCTCGTCGAAGGTGTAGTCGCCCAGGCGCAGGGTGGCCCCGCACTGCCAGCACTGGAAGCAGCCACGGTGGAAGAAGAGTCCCTCGGCGCTGGCTCGCTCCAGGATGTAGACGCGGCGGCCGCAGAAGTAGCAGCCGTCACTGCTCTCCCCGCGGGCCGGCGGCTGGGGGGGGAAGAGGACAGGCTGGGGTGGCACCGGGGTGCTGGCACCCACGTTGCCCTGGGGCTTTGCCGGCAGCCCAGGAGGTTCGGGGGGGGGGGAGCTTTGCCCCTCTTGCAGAGGTGGGTCTGGGTGCTCAGGACGGGGTTGCTGGCACTGGTGAGGGAGCGGCAGGTCTTGGCTCCGGAAAACAAGTTGGGTCAGGAAACAGGCAGGGAGGAGCCGGGAGCCCGTGGGCGTTCGCTTGCGCAGCCCTGGCTTGGCTCCTTGGCTCAGCCCCACCAGCTGCCGCTGCCCCCCCAAGCAACCTGGAGCCTGGAGCTTGACCCCCCCCAGGATGACACGGCTCGTGGGCACCGTCCAGAGTGTCTCCATCCAGCCCCGCGTCCGGCTACGAGCAACCCGAGGGGAGGATCAGCCCCCCGCTCTCTTCCCAGGACAGCTGCATCCCGGCAGAGCATCCCTCAAGGCGCCCGGGGCAGACCCACCTCGGCGTCCCTGCGGCTCCTCTTGGCCTCAACATCCTTCTGAGCGCTGTCCTGCAAATGCAAAGGGAGTGGCTAGGATGGGGAGCGGGGACACGGTTTTGGGGTGTCACGAGGGTCTGGTGGGGGGCCCTCACCTGGGCGTGCTTGTGTGTCAGGTTCCGACTCTTCTGCAGCTTGCTGAGGAAGAGGATGGCCCCTCGCGTGCCCAGGGGAGACAGTGGCTTCTTGCTGACCTCCTCTGCCTCTGCACAGAGGGGACATGGCCATGCTGGTGGGACTCACCCTACAAGGGGGGGCACCCAGCCAGGCCTGGTGGGGCTTGGGGTGGGATAAACCCCCTCCCAAATCTCGCACCTGGAGAAGTCTTGAAAGCTTCATAAAACTGGCTGAGGTAGGTGATGAGCCCCAGGCGGCTGGGCTCTGTCATGGCGGCCATCTCGGTGCTGGAGAGGACGGGCTGGATGCCCAGCTCCTGCTCCGCTGTGTCCAGCATCATCTGGTGGGTCTGGATGGGATCCTGGGGGTCCACAGAGTTGAAGTCCCTGTGGGAAGACACGGGTGCCATCAGGGTGGGCTCTGCCGGGTGGCAGCAGGGTGGGCTCTGCAGGGTGGGGGGTCCCGGGGAGGTCCCAGGCACTCACACCAGGTCGGGGCGAAAGTGGTGGATGAGGGCGCAGAGGGCCAAGCCGCTGGTCCAGGAGGTGGTGAAGTTGGTCACCACCACGCCACGGTACCCAGCCGTGCTGGTCTGGCACCAGCTCAGCAGCTCTTCGTAGGCATCTCCGGAGACCGCTGGGGAGGCAGCACACGTGTCCCCATCCTAAAGAGGCAGGGGACAAACCCCCCAGCCCGCTCCCCCCTCCCAGCATCAGTATTTTAGAGGGGAAGGGGTCCCACGGGAGTGACATGAGACCACC